CATCCATAAAGTTTTATGTCCCAAGTATAGACAATGAAAAATTTTGAATGTTGACCTAACGTCCTTATAAAGTATTATGTTACCCCATATGAAACATTTTGATCTTTGTAGGCGTTTCTGACATCAGTGGTCAGTATTGAGAATCTATCGGAAGTGTTTACTCACTGCTGACCTTACATTGTAATTAAACATAATAATGCATATAATATAAATGAAAAATAAAAACAATAGATATCTGTAGACAACTTCATTAGAAAAATACTAGTTTGGCAATAACAAAGCTTATTTAGATGAAAACAAAAAAAATCACGTATTCAGTTACCAACGACAAACACAATAATAAACATTATATGTGAATATTTGTTTCCAAAAAACATTAAATATTCTGCCAGAAAAGCCTACAGTCTTTAAAGATATTATTCTAAGGTAATTATTTGAGTAATATAAGTGAATTACAGAAATAAACCTTAATAAAAACCTCCCCTCGAAAACAATAAAAATATGAAAAGATAACATCTTTTAACAAAAAAATCCTGTTGCTCGGTCGAAAGTTTCGAAAGAGTTGTAATTTGACATCATGAAGAATCCATAAAGTTTTGTACCAAGTTTAGAAAAATGGAAAATTTAGAAGTTTGACATGTAGCATTACAGACCTACAGGCATAAAATAATGGGCGTAAAAAAAACCAAAATAATGTTTAATATGGGAGTACAAAAAAACACACAACCTATATAATGAGTATTAATTTAACATAAGATAATCATTATGATTATAATAAAGAAAAATCATATGTCGGTGATATTGTCCCAAGAGTAATATCAGCGAAAAACAAATATAAATTAAAACATCTTATGCGTCTGACAAAATCCTACAAACACAATAATGCACATAATAATATCGAAAAAACATTAAATATTCTGTCAGGAAAGCCTACAGTCTTTAAAGATATTATTCTAAGGTAATTATTTGAGTAATATAAGAGAATTACAGACCTAACGTCCATATAAAGTATTATGTTACCCAAAATTAAACATTCTGATCTTTGTAGGCGTTTATGACATGAGTGGTCTGTGTTGAGAGCCGGCTACCCAACCCTAACTCCCATTTAGGAAGGGGGAGGTAGGATTTTCCCAAGTGCTCTGATCAACCGGAAGTGTTTACTCACTGCTGACCTTACATTTTAATAAACATAATCATGAACATAATATAAATGAAAAATAATAACAGCAGACGTCTGTAGACGACTTCATTAGAAAAATACTAGTTTGGCAATAACAAAGCTTATTTAGATGAAAACAAAAAAAAATCATGTTGGTTTGTCGAAAGTTTCGAACAAATTATAATTTCGAAATGGTTATTTCTAATGGCGTATTCAGTTACCAACGACAAACACAATAATACACATTATATGTGAATATTTGTTTCCAAAAAACATTAAATATTCTGCCAGAAAAGCCTACAGTCTTTAAAGATATTATTCTAAGGTAATTATTTGAGTAATATAAGAGAATTACAGAAATAAACCTTAATAAAAACCTCCCCTCGAAAACAATAAAAATATGAAAAGATAACATCTTTTAACAAAAAAATCCTGTTGCTCGGTCGAAAGTTTCGAAAGAGTTGTAATTTGACATCATGAAGAATCCATAAAGTTTTATGTCCCAAGTATAGACAATGAAAAATTTTGAATGTTGACCTAACGTCCTTATAAAGTATTATGTTACCCCATATGAAACATTTTGATCTTTGTAGGCGTTTCGGACATCAGTGGTCAGTATTGAGAATCTATCGGAAGTGTTTACTCACTGCTGACCTTACATTGTAATTAAACATAATAATGCATATAATATAAATGAAAAATAAAAACAATAGATATCTGTAGACAACTTCATTAGAAAAATACTAGTTTGGCAATAACAAAGCTTATTTAGATGAAAACAAAAAAAATCACGTTGGTTTGTCGAAAGATTCGAACAAATTGTAATTTCGAAATGGTTATTTCTAATGACGTATTCAGTTACCAACGACAAACACAATAATACACATTATATGTGAATATTTGTTTCCAAAAAACATTAAATATTCTGCCAGAAAAGCCTACAGTCTTTAAAGATATTATTCTAAGGTAATTATTTGAGTAATATAAGAGAATTACAGACCTAACGTCCATATAAAGTATTATGTTACCCAAAATTAAACATTCTGATCTTTGTAGGCGTTTATGACATGAGTGGTCTGTGTTGAGAGCCGGCTACCCAACCCTAACTCCCATTTAGGAAGGGGGAGGTAGGATTTTCCCAAGTGCTCTGATCAACCGGAAGTGTTTACTCACTGCTGACCTTACATTTTAATAAACATAATCATGCACATAATATAAATGAAAAATAATAACAGCAGACGTCTGTAGACGACTTCATTAGAAAAATACTAGTTTGGCAATAACAAAGCTTATTTAGATGAAAACAAAAAAAAATCATGTTGGTTTGTCGAAAGTTTCGAACAAATTGTAATTTCGAAATGGTTATTTCTAATGGCGTATTCAGTTACCAACGACAAACACAATAATACACATTATATGTGAATATTTGTTTCCAAAAAACATTAAATATTCTGCCAGAAAAGCCTACAGTCTTTAAAGATATTATCCTAAGGTAATTATTTGAGTAATATAAGTGAATTACAGAAATAAACCTTAATAAAAACCTCCCCTCGAAAACAATAAAAATATGAAAAGATAACATCTTTTAACAAAAAAATCCTGTTGCTCGGTCGAAAGTTTCGAAAGAGTTGTAATTTGACATCATGAAGAATCCATAAAGTTTTATGTCCCAAGTATAGACAATGAAAAATTTTGAATGTTGACCTAACGTCCTTATAAAGTATTATGTTACCCCATATGAAACATTTTGATCTTTGTAGGCGTTTCGGACATCAGTGGTCAGTATTGAGAATCTATCGGAAGTGTTTACTCACTGCTGACCTTACATTGTAATTAAACATAATAATGCATATAATATAAATGAAAAATAAAAACAATAGATATCTGTAGACGACTTCATTAGAAAAATACTAGTTTGTCAATAACAAAGCTTATTTAGATGAAAACACAAAAAAATCATGTTGGTTTGTCGAAAGTTTCGAACAAATTGTAATTTCGAAATGGTTATTTCTAATGGCGTATTCAGTTACCAACGACAAACACAATAATACACATTATATGTGAATATTTGTTTCCAAAAAACATTAAATATTCTGCCAGAAAAGCCTACAGTCTTTAAAGATATTATTCTAAGGTAATTATTTGAGTAATATAAGTGAATTACAGAAATAAACCTTAATAAAAAACCTCCCCTCGAAAACAATAAAAATATGAAAAGATAACATCTTTTAACAAAAAACTCCTGTTGCTCGGTCGAAAGTTTCGAAAGAGTTGTAATTTGACATGAAGAATCCATAAAGTTTTATGTCCCAAGTATAGACAATGAAAAATTTTGAATGTTGACCTAACGTCCTTATAAAGTATTATGTTACCCCATATGAAACATTTTGATCTTTGTAGGCGTTTCGGACATCAGTGATCAGTATTGAGAATCTATCGGAAGTGTTTACTCACTGCTGACCTTACAATGTAATTAAACATAATAATGCATATAATATAAATGAAAAATAAAAACAATAGATATCTGTAGACAACTTCATTAGAAAAATACTAGTTTGGCAATAACAAGCTTATTTAGATAAATTGATGACCATTGGCGATATATAACAATAGTTAAATCCAAATTGCAAACGAACCCCATCAATATTTGAATCAAAATGTTACAGTATAAAAACATTAGCTAACAAGTCTTGGAAACACCTTTACATAGAGAAGTGATTTGATAGACTTTTAGTGAGGATATCGGTTTAAACTGCAGGACGAAACAACCCCAAATGTTATGTTCCAAAGAAACGAAGCAAACTGCCTATATCTATGTATGAAGAAACTGTACGGACAGGAGAAGGTGTTTATTTTGTGTATGTATGAAGAAACTGCCTGTCCCATCTGACCGTCGGTGTGCTTTCTCCCGATAGAGATAAACATATTTGGTGTGATCTTTGTTGATGAAGTTATGGTGTTTATTTTGTGAATGTATGAAGAAACTGTCCGTCCCATCTGACCGTCGGTATGTTTTCTCCCGATAGAGATAAACATATTTGGTGTGATCTTTGTTGATGAAGTTATGGTTTTTATTTTGTGTATATATGAAGAAACTGTCCATCCCATCTGACCGTCGGTATGTTTTCTCCCGATAGAGATAAACATATTTGTTGTGATCTTTGATGAAGTTATGACATGTTAGTCTCGGCATAACAGATGGACTCGGTCCCTCAAGTAGTTTTACACCCCAAGCCTAACTAAAAGTCAATGTTTTCAAGGGGTCCGTATTTTAAAATGTGTTTCAAACTTGTCAACATAATGTTCTTTACTGTACCTACGTGTATTAGACAGACCCATGAAAATTTAGAAAATATATATAGTACATGCAGTACATACATAAACCTGCTATTGCCAATCTAGAATTTCCCTGTTAATGTTCCATTTCCAAGTCACAGCTGGAAAAAAGGTAAAATGTGACAATTAAATGGTCCACATGAACAATTTCCTTTTAAAAAGGACATAGTTGAAAATCTGCCCATCTGTACAACACGATTAATATTTCAGCAAATCTGAAAAGTTTTCGAAAACTACCAACAGACATGCTGTACTGTTTTGCGACTATAGAAAATCTCATCTTGCAGCTGAAGTATGATTTGTTCACAGTAAATTCATCTAAGAACTACCATTGAATGTACCTATGGCGACCAAGTGTTACGTTCAGTTGAAATGTTACAGTTCTGAAGGCGTAATTTCTATTTCCACGAATGTCTCAGTCAATATGTATAATTTGATTCAAAGACCACCATATTATGTAATTAAGCATATCGCATGGACTTTAATTTGAATTATTTATAAATAAATGCTATTAATACCTCCCCTGTCTGTGTCCTATAACCGTGGTAATCATCATCGTATTGATCATTCGGCGCCTTAACATTGTTGTGGTCCTGTAAAATATACGATTATATATTTTGTGTTTATAACATCGGGCACTATCTTGGCATGCTAATAGACACATTTCAACAGCCAAAAACAAACTTGCAGCCTAGAGGAACTAGAGAAGTTGTAATTAGCAAGTATGTATGGTTTTTAAATGTTCTAAAATAAGGATCCAATAGTGAATTATTAGACATACACAATATGTAATATATTTGAACTCTTTTAACACAATCAGCTACCCTCATTCGTGAAATTTCTAATTGTGGACATCAATTTGAAGACACCGAACATTTTTTTATTGAAATGCTCCTGATGTTCAGATGCCCGAAATAAAACAATAAATAATTTATCGACTATTCATCGAAACACTCAATATTTTTAAAACTGTCCATTCGTTTTTCGAAATCACCAGACGGTTCCAGGGACAACTATAAACACTCATCATTGTAAATATATTCTCACTATAATCATACTTGCACGTGTACATTGATTATTAATATCTAAAATGTAAATGCATGTATCTATATCTGACAGGGAGAGGGGTTTAATATAGGCTATGTCTGTTCCCCAATCCCTATTCAGATACAGATCTGAATAAAATATTGCTTATAAAAAAAAACATTTCTTTGAAATACCACTACCGTTTCGGTTCATCGTGTTACGTTATACTGTACGACATTTTAAGTTCTAAATAAAACATAATGTTTGAAATTTTATATTACCGTAATAACACTTGCGATTTTGTTTTAGAAATAGAAAATATTGATATTAATGCTTACCTCATCAATTGCATTGACTGTACAATACCTCCATGTATAATATGCTCTGCGTCCCCACGATCATGTAAGAGAGGAGGATTATTCAGTTTCACGTTCTGTACATTCTAAATTTCCAGACTGCATCCAATTACAGTATATGTACTTTAACCGGCGCCGTCACTATTTTTAAGGAAAAAAAATATATTTATGTTTAGTTGATTCTGGCTTACAATAACAATCCTGTGAAATAGAATTGTTTCAAATTAGAATCTGTTCACACAATCTGTTTACTTTTGTCTTGTCTTATATTACCAAAGAATATTAAAATCTAACTCACCTGTATCCGTAAACTCTCTAGACCCCACTATCAACAATACATCTAAGTTTATCATAGAAACACGTTATACAAGGTTATCTTTACTGGACTCATGAGAAATTTGCAATTTACGTTAACGGCATTAAAAATCTAAGATAAAGAAAATATCAGAATATATTAAATATAGCACCCCTTACATAGCAAGCAAATGCAGCGAAAAACGTGCACCCCCCCCCCAAAAAAAAAAACAACAAAAAAACCCAAAAAACAAAAATATTAGTTGCCTAAAGAAGATGTAGGATTAGTCGATGCCATATTAATATATCCCAATTTAATTACTCCCCATGTCTATAACTTTCAACCAAAAAAAACTAATAATACATCATGGAAAACATCACATGATATTTACAAACGAATCTGGTGCACAAGCCAAGCTTATACAACAACAAGCCAAAATATAAAGACAGGCCCAGTATAAGATAAATAATAACGTGTGGACCTCTATTATATCATAAACTTTTTGTCTCCTATAGCGTAATTTGAAAATAAAACCCCATGAATTAATATTAGCGTTAACTCTTTTCCTAAACTCAAATCAATATGCGTATCAATTGACAAATTCATTGGTGTTGAATGGTTATATTTACAAATGTCAGTAACATTGGACTAGACCTGTGTCATAGGTCAGAGTAGCCAGATATAGGACGGGAACTTTTTCTATGTAGTTTGACGAATATATTGTAATATGGTGAAGATCTTTTATTTAAACAAATGTTGCTTACCCACAGAACAACTACCATGAAGCCATCGTCTGTAATATGTAATAGAAATATGGATAAATGTTATTAAATAAACAGTTTAATTCTGTGTGAAAGACTCTAGCCTTGGCCTGTATAGCAATCTAAAATTTTATGACGCTATGCCAAAGAAATACAAACTTTCATTATTCATGTGATGGAGGCGAAAAATCAGAATATTCTTCACATTTTGTCACTTGATTTGCATACCTTGTGAAAGCTGGAACATCCATGTCCACCTCGTCCCAGAAATCCAAGCGGAGTTCTCCACACCCCGTTTTCGTCCCCGGGTCGGCCTCGCTCCACCATCTCCATCGAGTCTTGGATCGTACGAAAGTGCGCGGTGACTGGACGAGAGATCGGGCTCAACAATCCCCCGCCTTCCGACCGCTTCGTTGCCTTCTAGAGAGAGAACTGTGGGCTAAATGATCCCCTGCCTACCGTTCTCCACCGTCTCGCGTCTTGGATCGTACGAAAGTGTGCGGTGACTGGACGAGTGATCGGGCTCAACGATCCCCCGCCTTCCGACCGCTTCGCTGCCTGTGACTTTACATGAGCATTAACTCCTCAGCACTGTACTCAGAGGGAATCCGATGTACCACGCATTTCTCACAGCTCGTCCACATCGTCCCGGAGAGCCAAGCGGAGTTCTCCGGTTTTCGTGACCGTGATAGTCGGTAGGCAGTACACCGACCTTTTATTTCTCGACCATACCTTCTCTAATCTTAAATCTATGGGTCTCCTCCACCCATAGGCTATAAGTTTGAGAACTTCTCAAAGGAACCAGACACCTTTTATTTCTCGACCATACCTTCTCAAATCTTAAATCTATGGGTCTCCTCCATACCATAGGTTATAAGTTTGAGAACTTCTCACGCCCGTGAGAGTGTCAAAGGAACCAGACACCTTTTATTTCTCGACCATATCTTCTCAAATCTTAAATCTATGGGTCTCCTCCATACCATAGGGTATAAGTTTGAGAACTTCTCACGCCCGTGAGAGTGTCAAAGGAACCAGACACCTTTTATTTCTCGACCATACCTTCTCAAATCTTAAATCTATGGGTCTCCTCCATACCATAGGGTATAAGTTTGAGAACTTCTCACGCCCGTGAGAGTGTCAAAGGAACCAGACACCTTTTATTTCTCGACCATATCTTCTCAAATCTTAAAACTATGGGTCTCCTCCACACCATAGACTATAAGTTTGAGAACTTCTCACGCCCGTGAGAGTGTCAAAGGAACCAGACACCTTTTATTTCTCGACCATACCTTGCCTAATCTTAAATCTATAGGTCTCCTCCACAGCATAGGATTTAAGTTTGAGATCTTCCATTAACTCCTCAGCACTGCACTCAAGAGGGAATGCCAGGTACCACCCATTTCCGCGAGCTGTGACCAGGCTCCGAGGAGTTGTCGTCCGCGGGTCGGCCTCGCTCCACCGTCTCCATCAGTCTTGGATCGTACGAAAGTGCGCGGTGACTGGACGAGAGATCGGGCTCAACAATCCCCCGCCTTCCGACCGCTTCGTTGCCTTCTAGAGAGAGAACCGTGGGCTAAATGATCCCCTGCCTTCCATTCTCCACCGTCTCGAGTCTTGGATCGTACGAAAGTGCGCAGTGACTGGACGAGAGATCGGGCTCAACAATCCCCCGCCTTCCGACCGCTTCGTTGCCTTCTAGAGAGAGAACTGTGGGCTAAATGATCCCCTGCCTTCCATTCTCCACCGTCTCGAGTCTTGGATCGTACGAAAGTGCGCAGTGACTGGACGAGAGATCGGGCTCAACAATCCCCCGCCTTCCGACCGCTTCGTTGCCTTCGAGAGAGAGAGAACCGTGGCTAAACGATCCCCTACCTTCCGTTCTCCGTTTTCGTCTCCGGGTCGGCCTCGCTCCGTCTCCATCGATTCTTGGATCGTACGAAAGTGCGCAGTGACTGGACGAGAGATCGGGCTCAACAATCCCCCGCCTTCCGACCGCTTCGTTGCCTTCGAGAGAGAGAGAGAACCGTGGCTAAACGATCCCCTACCTACCGTTCTCGCTCCACCGTCTCGCGTCTTGGATCGTACGAAAGTGTGCGGTGACTGGACGAGTGATCGGGCTCAACGATCCCCCGCCTTCCGACCGCTTCGCTGCCTGTGACTTTACATGAGCATTAACTCCTCAGCACTGTACTCAGAGGGAATCCGATGTACCACGCATTTCTCACAGCTCGTCCACATCGTCCCGGAGAGCCAAGCGGAGTTCTCCGGTTTTCGTGACCGTGATAGTCGGTAGGCAGTACACCGACCTTTTATTTCTCGACCATACCTTCTCTAATCTTAAATCTATGGGTCTCCTCCACCCATAGGCTATAAGTTTGAGAACTTCTCAAAGGAACCAGACACCTTTTATTTCTCGACCATACCTTCTCAAATCTTAAATCTATGGGTCTCCTCCATACCATAGGTTATAAGTTTGAGAACTTCTCACGCCCGTGAGAGTGTCAAAGGAACCAGACACCTTTTATTTCTCGACCATATCTTCTCAAATCTTAAATCTATGGGTCTCCTCCATACCATAGGGTATAAGTTTGAGAACTTCTCACGCCCGTGAGAGTGTCAAAGGAACCAGACACCTTTTATTTCTCGACCATACCTTCTCAAATCTTAAATCTATGGGTCTCCTCCATACCATAGGGTATAAGTTTGAGAACTTCTCACGCCCGTGAGAGTGTCAAAGGAACCAGACACCTTTTATTTCTCGACCATATCTTCTCAAATCTTAAAACTATGGGTCTCCTCCACACCATAGACTATAAGTTTGAGAACTTCTCACGCCCGTGAGAGTGTCAAAGGAACCAGACACCTTTTATTTCTCGACCATACCTTGCCTAATCTTAAATCTATGGGTCTCCTCCACAGCATAGGATTTAAGTTTGAGATCTTCCATTAACTCCTCAGCACTGCACTCAAGAGGGAATGCCAGGTACCACCCATTTCCGCGAGCTGTGACCAGGCTCCGAGGAGTTGTCGTCCGCGGGTCGGCCTCGCTCCACCGTCTCCATCAGTCTTGGATCGTACGAAAGTGCGCGGTGACTGGACGAGAGATCGGGCTCAACAATCCCCCGCCTTCCGACCGCTTCGTTGCCTTCTAGAGAGAGAACCGTGGGCTAAATGATCCCCTGCCTTCCATTCTCCACCGTCTCGAGTCTTGGATCGTACGAAAGTGCGCAGTGACTGGACGAGAGATCGGGCTCAACAATCCCCCGCCTTCCGACCGCTTCGTTGCCTTCTAGAGAGAGAACCGTGGGCTAAATGATCCCCTGCCTTCCATTCTCCACCGTCTCGAGTCTTGGATCGTACGAAAGTGCGCAGTGACTGGACGAGAGATCGGGCTCAACAATCCCCCGCCTTCCGACCGCTTCGTTGCCTTCTAGAGAGAGAACCGTGGGCTGAATGATCCCCTGCCATACATTCTCCACCGTCTCGAGTCTTGGATCGTACAAAAGTGCGCAGTGACTGGACGAGAGATCGGGCTCAACAATCCCCCGCCTTCCGACCGCTTCGTTGCCTTCTAGAGAGAGAACCGTGGGCTAAATGATCCCCTGCCTTCCATTCTCCACCGTCTCGGGTCTTGGATCGTACGAAAGTGCGCAGTGACTGGACGAGAGATCGGGCTCAACAATCCCCCGCCTTCCGACCGCTTCGTTGCCTTCTAGAGAGAGAACCGTGGGCTAAATGATCCCCTGCCTTCCATTCTCCACCGTCTCGGGTCTTGGATCGTACGAAAGTGCGCAGTGACTGGACGAGAGATCGGGCTCAACAATCCCCCGCCTTCCGACCGCTTCGTTGCCTTCTAGAGAGAGAACCGTGGGCTAAATGATCCCCTGCCTTCCATTCTCCACCGTCTCGAGTCTTGGATCGTACGAAAGTGCGCAGTGACTGGACGAGAGATCGGGCTCAACAATCCCCCGCCTTCCGACCGCTTCGTTGCCTTCTAGAGAGAGAACCGTGGGCTAAATGATCCCCTGCCTTCCATTCTCCACCGTCTCGAGTCTTGGATCGTACGAAAGTGCGCAGTGACTGGACGAGAGATCGGGCTCAACAATCCCCCGCCTTCCGACCGCTTCGTTGCCTTCTAGAGAGAGAACCGTGGGCTAAATGATCCCCTGCCTTCCATCCTCCACCTTCTCGAGTCTTGGATCGTACGAAAGTGCGCAGTGACTGGACGAGAGATCGGGCTCAACAATCCCCCGCCTTCCGACCGCTTCGTTGCCTTCTAGAGAGAGAACCGTGGGCTAAATGATCCCCTGCCTTCCATTCTCCACCGTCTCGAGTCTTGGATCGTACGAAAGTGCGCAGTGACTGGACGAGAGATCGGGCTCAACAATCCCCCGCCTTCCGACCGCTTCGTTGCCTTCGAGAGAGAGAGAGAACCGTGGCTAAACGATCCCCTACCTTCCGTTCTCCGTTTTCGTCTTCGGGTCGGCCTCGCTCCGTCTCCATCGATTCTTGGATCGTACGAAAGTGCGCAGTGACTGGACGAGAGATCGGGCTCAACAATCCCCCGCCTTCCGACCGCTTCGTTGCCTTCTAGAGAGAGAACCGTGGGCTAAATGATCCCCTGCCTTCCATTCTCCACCGTCTCGAGTCTTGGATCGTACGAAAGTGCGCAGTGACTGGACGAGAGATCGGGCTCAACAATCCCCCGCCTTCCGACCGCTTCGTTGCCTTCTAGAGAGAGAACCGTGGGCTAAATGATCCCCTGCCTTCCATTCTCCACCGTCTCGAGTCTTGGATCGTACGAAAGTGCGCAGTGACTGGACGAGAGATCGGGCTCAACAATCCCCCGCCTTCCGACCGCTTCGTTGCCTTCTAGAGAGAGAACTGTGGGCTAAATGATCCCCTGCCTACCGTTCTCCACCGTCTCGCGTCTTGGATCGTACGAAAGTGTGCGGTGACTGGACGAGTGATCGGGCTCAACGATCCCCCGCCTTCCGACCGCTTCGCTGCCTGTGACTTTACATGAGCATTAACTCCTCAGCACTGTACTCAGAGGGAATCCGATGTACCACGCATTTCTCACAGCTCGTCCACATCGTCCCGGAGAGCCAAGCGGAGTTCTCCGGTTTTCGTGACCGTGATAGTCGGTAGGCAGTACACCGACCTTTTATTTCTCGACCATACCTTCTCTAATCTTAAATCTATGGGTCTCCTCCACCCATAGGCTATAAGTTTGAGAACTTCTCAAAGGAACCAGACACCTTTTATTTCTCGACCATACCTTCTCAAATCTTAAATCTATGGGTCTCCTCCATACCATAGGTTATAAGTTTGAGAACTTCTCACGCCCGTGAGAGTGTCAAAGGAACCAGACACCTTTTATTTCTCGACCATATCTTCTCAAATCTTAAATCTATGGGTCTCCTCCATACCATAGGGTATAAGTTTGAGAACTTCTCACGCCCGTGAGAGTGTCAAAGGAACCAGACACCTTTTATTTCTCGACCATACCTTCTCAAATCTTAAATCTATGGGTCTCCTCCATACCATAGGGTATAAGTTTGAGAACTTCTCACGCCCGTGAGAGTGTCAAAGGAACCAGACACCTTTTATTTCTCGACCATATCTTCTCAAATCTTAAAACTATGGGTCTCCTCCACACCATAGACTATAAGTTTGAGAACTTCTCACGCCCGTGAGAGTGTCAAAGGAACCAGACACCTTTTATTTCTCGACCATACCTTGCCTAATCTTAAATCTATGGGTCTCCTCCACAGCATAGGATTTAAGTTTGAGATCTTCCATTAACTCCTCAGCACTGCACTCAAGAGGGAATGCCAGGTACCACCCATTTCCGCGAGCTGTGACCAGGCTCCGAGGAGTTGTCGTCCGCGGGTCGGCCTCGCTCCACCGTCTCCATCAGTCTTGGATCGTACGAAAGTGCGCGGTGACTGGACGAGAGATCGGGCTCAACA